ATGATCTGCGTTTCATTCAATTAAGTCGATGATGAAATCCTTGGCCAAGGTGTACTCATAAGTCGAAAAGGAGTTTTCGATTTATATTGACTTAATAGTGGAATGAAAGATATGATCGATGATCGAGATTGACACAATTCCATATCTCGTAATTGATCGGATCGTATTGACGAAGGGATAATAATTCCATGATAAACGAACGATTTTGGTTTTGTCATACCACGTGACATTTCCCGTCACATGTATTGCCCTGACATATTGCTAGATGTCAATCAGGGACGGCGAATGTGAATTGACGATAAATTAAAAGGGTGTATTAATTTATCGATTTTGATTAGATCAAAATAATATTTCACGACGTTAGGCATCGTGGTCGGGAACCTAATGGGTCGCACACAAAAGAGAATTGGAAGACTGCAAATTGTTAATTGATTAATTTAACAATCGTTGGATAAATTAATTAATTGAATTTCTTATTTATAATCCCGAATTAATTAATTGGATTAATTAATTCACGGACCGGGTTTGATTAATTGGATTAATTAAATATTGGACCGGACCGGGCCGGGTCCGTTTGGGTTTATATATATATGCAGCTAGGGTTTGAGGTCCATTAAGTTATTCATTGTTCTTGCTAGCACAAGAAAGAAATCCTAGCAGTTGCTGTTTTCTCTCTGTGTGGATTTCATTGGAGGCTGTACAATTGGACAGCTGTGGGAGGCAGATTCAAGCTGCTGGAAAGGAATAACGCGAAAGAGTTTGCAAATCACACAAAAGGTATATTTCTCATCACAGTTTTTATCTAAATACAAAGCTGAATCCTGAATGGGAATTGAAATTCGTTAAATTCCGCTGTGCATGTTTAAATCAATTCCCAACACTATTGAGGTGTATGCAGGCGGAAATGGCACAAATATAACAGCTACTCTGTTGAATTCGGGGAATTTTGTAGTGAGAGAGACGAACGTAAATGGTTCTGCGGGCAGGATTCTGTGGGAAAGCTTTGATTATCCAACTGATACTCTTCTTCCGGGGATCAAATTAGGTGTTAATCATAGGACTGGAAGAAATTGGCATCTTACATCATGGTTTGAAAATTTCAATCCCGCTTCCGGAGCTTTTACGCTAGAATGGGATCCAAGCACACGTAAGTTAATCGTACAAAGACGAGGGTTGATTTATTGGACCAGTGGCGACTTGAAAGACTATACTAATCAGATCTTGAGATTGACTGTCAAGGAATTTGAGAATATCCCTAAACCTGATTTTGTTGATTTCAATTACAATTTCACCAATGTTTCAAATGGTGTGGAGGATTACTTCAGCTACTCCCCTATAATAGACCCCAAGTCGACACCTGAAGATCGAAAAACTATTTCTGGATGGCAGCTAAAATATAACGGGGATATATATAACAGGGATCGGGCAATGATAGCAGAAGTGAGTCATTGTTATGGTTATAACATAGAAGGATCTTCTGTTTACGAAGGCTGTGAGCCCAGTTGCAGGAATCATAACGAGACATTTGTTTTGAAATCAGGGCGTTTCGCTAATGGAAATGGGAGCGAGGCAATTGCAGATTTTGATGATGATTATAATCTTACTGAGAGTGACTGCAGAGGGAAATGCTGGAATGACTGTGAATGTTTAGGCTTTGTGGGCAGAGATGGATATGGATGTAGATAATGGAAAGGGAAAAATTTGACTTTTGTACAGAGTTATGATGGTTCTGAATTTAAACAATTCGTTCTTGTTCTAGAGGCTTCAGAGTCTTCGACCGAAAGTAAGTTCATAGCACCAAATCAAGAATTTTTCAACATATGCACACATATCTTTACTTCAATTCCTCTGTTTGGGGTTTATTATTATTATTATTATTATTATTATTATTATTATTATTATTATTATTATTATTATTATTATTATTATTATTTTTGGTTAAATAAACTTCTTTTCATTGGGTTTTGATTTTTTGCAAAAGAAATTTCTTCGGACTAAATATGTTGAAGATACATAAAGCACTATGCAGGTCAATAAATCTACTTCCCTTTTCCTCTATTGTTGACGTCTGATAGAACTGCTGGAAGGACTGTGAATGTGTAGGCTTTATCGGTAGATATGACTTTAGATGTTTATACTGGCAAGGGAAAAATTTTACTTTTGTACAGAGTTTTGATGGTTCTGCCCCTAAACAATTCGTTCTTGTTTCAGAATCTTCAAACAAAAGTAAGTTCGTATCACCAAATCAAGAATTTTTCAACATGTGCACACATTCCCTTAATTCAATTTCTCTGTTTGGGTGTTCAGAATCAATCTTTTATTATTATTATTATTATTATTATTATTATTATTATTATTATTATTATTATTATTATTGCTATTATTATTATTATTTTGAGGATATATAAAGCGATTTACAGGTCAATGATGTGCTACCTTTTTCCTCTATTCTTTACATCCATGAAGACATTTCTCTTTTCGGCAATGTGTTTACTATCATCAAATGATAAATGACAGGATGGAAGCCATGGAAAATCATTACTTTGGTTATCTCAGTAGTTGCGTTTTTATTGGGCTGTGTATGGTTCATCATCCGAAAAATTGAACAAGGTATCATTCTAGTTTTTCAAGTTCTAATTATCCTAATGATATTCATTAGCGTTCTTATGTTGACGCTTTGGATGATCATCTCATAGGGAAAAGGAAGAAAGAAGAATTACATGAGCTAATGACCCTAGAAGAATATACTGAAACACATCCAGTTGAAAGTGATAGGGGACAGGGTCATCATCTTACACTATTTACGTATTCGTCTATCCTTAGAGCTACGGGCAGCTTTTCGTTAACAAACAAACTGGGAGAGGGTGGTTTTGGCCCTGTTTATAAGGTAAATTTGAATTGATAATATTATTCGTTCCTTGAATAGGATCAGCCCTTCGGAGCTTCATGTAGCACCTTATTCTTGCATTGGAGTAGTTGAAAAGGAATTGATCATTGCTACGGAAATACTCTTATTGCCTTTTCTCTTTCTTAACCATTGTCCAGGATCTTTCTTAGGACGCATCAATTTTAGCCTATGTTTAGTTTAAATTTATAAACTATTTGTAAACATTCAGATTATTTTTTATTCACACATTTTGAAGGACTTACAATACTGCCTACATATTTCTCGCTCATTTATATCCATTTATGATTCAAATTGTTTATAAACACTTATCATCCATGATCAATCTTCAACTATTTCTTCTTTTGATAAATATATTAGTGTTGCTTCAATATAAATATGGCATTGCCACTTTCGTTGATATCTCCACTAATTCAATAATAAATAAATTATGTATTTATCTATCCTTATAGGGAAAAACCGTCGAAGGACGAGAAATTGCGGTTAAGGTACTCTCACGAATGTCAGTTCAAGGATTGCTCGAGTTCAAAATTGAACTAATACTTATATCTAAGATTCAACACGTGAATCTTGTCAAAGTATTGGGTTTCTGTGTCCATGGAGATGAGAAGATGATAATCTATGACTACATGCCTAACAAAAGCTTGGACTTCTTTCTCTTTTGTGAGTACCATCTATTTCCTACACGATATTTACTTATGACACATTTTCAAGTTATAGTGACGGATTTTTCGAAAATATGTTATGATTGATTCAAAAATAAAAATCAAGAGACATTTCAATTGAAGAATAATGAGTTAATTCTGTTTACGAACGCATATTTTAAAATGGAATTTGTACATCCCAAGTTCAGAAACATAATTGGAGTCAACATAATCTATATTTTCTGGTATGATAAGGACAATTATAATTTTATCTTTAC